CTTCCCTCCTCCCATTCTGAAAACAGTGACAGGCTGGGGGTTCTGCAGACACAAGTTACAAAAGACACATTTTGAAATGTTTTTACCTGATACCTCATACAGTGAGGGGTCAGATTTATACTCGATTGGCCATTTTTAAAGCTATTTGTAGCTGCGCACTTGTGTTTGTTCACAGATATAAACTACTCTTTGTGGCCAGATCAGGCAAAAATTGTCACTTCTGTCTGCACTCAAAAATGAGATGCAGATTCTATTAAGTTTGTCTTGATGATAATCTCAGTATTTTGTCTTTGGAAAATTGTAGTTTTCAGTCAACTTAGTGCTAAGGCTGGAAGGACTTTTGTCCAATCAAAGAATTGCATGTTTGTATGTAATCTCATTTTGTACCTCAGAGCTATTTATAGTATGTGGGGGAGAAAAATGGGAAGGGTACTGACTATTTTTTCTCAGTACTCTTCCTAGGGTGCATCTACATGTGCAAGTAATGTGCCTGAATTTTCTGTGCAGAAAATTCAAACACATTAAACTGCTCCCGGGCAGGTATCTGAACATGCGCCCACTTTGGGAGCACTGAGGGTAGCCCTGGGCTAGCAGAGGGCATGGGGGAGGGGGGCTCAGGCCTAGGTTCCAGGGGAGGAGAAGGGGTTGGGGACATCTTCCCACCTACCCCCCAGAGCAGCTCCAAGCCGCATAGAGAGCTGCTCTGGGGAGCAGGCAGGGAGCTGTCCCTGGTTCCCTGCCTGCCCCCAGAGCTTGGGGCTAGCCTTTGGGCCCATGCTGCCTGGCCTGACTTGGAGCAATTTGTTCCTGCTCAGCGTCTGTGTGCTTCAGCACTTGAGTTCAATGGGCCATCTTCTAGTACCTGTATCTAACAATATTAGAAAACAGCTCATTAGACGAAGGTATTTTGCAGTAATTGCTGTGCACATGTAGATGATGATGCTTTATTGTGCATTAGATTAGTCTTATGCATAGTAAAGTATCTTTTGCAGACACCCAAAAAATAAAAAACCTGATTCTTCATAGTTCTTGGGTGATCAGTTTGAAAGGAATGCCATAAGCACCTGTCTAAATCAGTGATTCTCAATCTTTTTACATCCCAGGCACCCCAGGGAAAATATTAGCTCTTGTTTTTCACTTTGGAAGAATAATAGAGCAGTTCTTCTATTGCAAAGAACTGAAGAGAAACCCAACCTATAGTGTCAAAAAGTTTCAAACGTGTTGTGGTCTAGTTTGCAAATCATGTATAGGTGTTTGCACACCTAACAGTGCTAATATTTCATAGCAGTCTATGGCACCCTTAAAAGGATCTCCCACCACCTCAGATTGCCATGGCACCCTGGTTGAGAATCATTGGTCTAAATGGTTTATATTGTGCTTTGTGTAGGGGTGCACTGATAAAACATTTTCTTGGCTGATGGCTAATTATTAACCAGCCATATCAGCTGATACTGATCCAATAGCTGATTTTTCAGGAATGCAGCACGGCAGCTTGGAAAGCAGTGTCTGGCTGGTAAGTCTGTGGGGGGAAGGAACAGAAGAGAGGGGAGTTGTTGGGGGGTGGGGTAGATCAAGGCCCCCACAGTGAGGGAGGGAGAGGGGCAGGAGCAGGCACTGCCCAGCTAGGGCAGTAAATGTGACCCCGGGAGTGGGACAGAGCCACTGGCTCTGCCATTGCACAAACCCCTGGAGGAGGCATAGGGGGCTTGTGCCCCCCAGATTTGTGCATGGGGCAAGGGCAGATTGCCTGCTGTGGGCTCTGGGCCAGGGGCTATGCTAGCCTCTTCCTGGTGGGGGTGGGGCTGGGCTAGGGCTGTGCTTGGGGTGGGCGGGAGTGGCACTGGGAGGGGTGGCTACGGGGAATATTGACATGGCTAAAACCCACCCCGTAGCCACCCCTCCCAGCGCCACCCCGACCTGCCCACCCTGAGTGCAGCCCCATCCTAAAGAGTCTGGCACAGCCCCTGGCCCTGAGCC